TCATCGATCATGGCTCTGATCCTCGGCCGTTCAACTCAAGAAGCACTCAAGAAGGTAGAAGAGCCGGAATAAGGGTCAAACGAAGAGAAATTCATCAAACAAATGCTATTAAGAGCTTCGTTACGCATCGTGGAAAAGAATCTTTATCAAGTCAAAGAGGTTTAAACAAAAGCAATCTGATTGAAATTCATCTTCAGCTTCAAACTACGATCACAAAAAAACCTCTTTCTATGGCGGTTATAAACTGCCGGTCTTTAAACAAGAACGGTGCAAAATTGAAAGACCACATAGTGGAGTATGACTGTGATATACAGGGGCGTATCCAGAACTTTTCAAAAAGGGGTCCCTACACACCAAACTTTTACTATGACGTCATAGCACTATGGTACGATTTGCTCTTTTTTATGGCTTTTGTGGCTTAGAAAGGGAGGTCACGGGTACCCTAGGACCCACCCCCTAAATACACCCCTGATGCTATAGCGAACACAGAGACTTGGCTTCCGTGCGAAATATCCTAGCTAAACAAATCATCGGCTAGCTAAACAAATCACCTTTTGTCCAAAAGGCTACAAAGTGTCGCATGTTCCTCGAGGCACTGGTCGACGTGGAGGCGGTGTTGGTATTCTTTACAAAACATCCCTTGAAGTACGCTGTCCTGACAGCCAACAGAGTATAATTCTTTTGAATATTCCCAGCACCTTGTAAAAGTAAATTCTAAATGGCTGACGGGATCGTCACAATCTACCGACCCCCGCCATCTGCCGCAAATGGAATTACTGTGCAACAGTTTTAACTCGGAATTTGCATCATTTTTGGAGCATTTAATATCCCTCCCAGGGCAGATTGTTATATCTGGAGATCTTAATTTTCACCTCAAACAATCATACAAGAGAATTCCTTGAGCTACTAGAGGTCTTCAATCTGACGCAGCATGTAAACCAACCTACTCATAGACTCGGCCACACCCTAGACTGTATAATGACTGAACGGGATGTGGATATTGTAAGTGAAGTCATTGTAAATACTCCTTGGATATCTGACCACAGTCTTGTGTCCTTTCATCTCTCCGTATCCAAACCTGCGTTAACTCACAAATCTGTAATCAGGGGGGTTTATGTCGAATCCAAAGATCTAAACTATGGCGTACCGCAGGATCTGTCCTGGGCCCAAAGCTTTTCACCACGTATTCACGTCCGCTGGGTGACATTGCCCGCAGCCATGGGGTTCAGTTTCATGTGTACGCTGACGATTGTCAACTCTACATAGCCGAAGGGAAAAGGTTCCAATGATCAAGTCTAAAATGGAAACCTTACTGATGGAGATAAGAAGATGGATGTCTACTAATATGCTGAAGCTCAACGATGACAAAACTGAAATCATTGCTTTAGAAGGTCCTCGTCGCAATCGTGTTGAACTACCACCGATGATAATTGGCAATGAAGTGATTCCTGTCTCCAAATCTGTTCGTCTTCTTGGTGTAGACATGGATAGTAACATGACACTTAAAGGTCATATTTGCTGTGTTGCGAAAAAGTGTTTTGCTACCCTGAGAAACATGTTCAAGATCAGGCGGTGCCTCAATGAGACTGCTGCCAAAGCAATGGTTCACACTATGGTAACATCTAACATTGACTACTGCAACGTCCTCCTATGTGGTCTGCCACAGTCTACACTAAAATATCTATCAAAAATTCAAAAGATATCTTTACGTTTTATCTCACAAAGTGCCAAATACGGCCATGTAACACCAGTGTTGAAAGATCTACATTGCCTGCCTATTGAACAGCGTATAGAGTATGAAGTTCTAGTGATGAACTCTCTCCACAATACATCGAGGAACTAATACAGAAACGACCTACGAAGCGAACCAGAGCTGACAACAATAATGACCTAGTAGTTCCCACTATTAAACGGTGACTCCTTTGTTGGAAGAGCATTTAAGAAATGTAATAGCATTTGTTACTTCAAGAAATTTTGCACATTTTGAACATTATTGAACAAAATTCTATATTCCCTAATGCTATGAACAAGTTACGCCATATAACAATGGATAAAGTCTAACAAAATCCTAGAACAATAGGTTTTTAAACCATTCCGCTCCATTAACTATGTTTTTGCCGACTAAGCTAATGATTTACATGCGACCGCGCTTGAGTGAAGACGGTTATGAATTTCAATCAGCTTTTTTTTCCAGCTTGATTTCAATCAACTTTTTTCCTATTAGTGCTTATTTATAGGTCTATTCTTTACTTACTTACAAGCAAATCACCTACGAAATAATATCGCGCAACCTCTCCTTTGAAGAGATCAATTAACATCGGTCAATCCCTTATAACAGTGCTAATCGTAGCTCGCCTGCTAGTCTCTCCTGGACTGCGAGTATTCCATCTAGACACAACCCTCTCTCAATCACCTGGACTGCAAGTATCCCATCTAGACGCAACCCT